GTGACAAATCTATTCTCTTTGGATTTGGCACAATTTCACTCGAATCGATGTTCAGGAAATGTGCTAATGATATTGTGTCCGGAACACACGAAACCCGTGTCACATACGAAATCCACTGACAATTAACTCTGGCTATAATTTATCGGTGTCTTAAGTGTTTAGCCGTTGTGGCTTAAAGCCAAACATCGCTCGTTTCCATCCAATCAAATATGCAAATTTTGTTCAGCGAACACTAACACTTTGGGTGTGAGTGTCTTAATGCGATCACGAGCATTAATTTATTATTGGCTAAATTTGCTATACTTTTAATTATTTCGAAACTACGCTCATGTCGAACACTGAGCTTGTATTATTAGATGTGTTCTTTATACATACACACACATATATACCTTCACCAGCTTTAACAACCATAGCGAATTGATTTTTCGACAAGATATTCGCGATCGAGTTTTTAAAACTGTTGCTTTATTTTTTGCACTGCAATCAATGGAGCCAGTTTTTTTTAGCTGTTTCGCTCGGAAAAGACTTTAGTTAATCGCGACTGATTCGAACTACAAAGAAGCCGAAATTTCTTTCGAAAAAAGCGAAAAAAAAGGAGAATCAGTTGATTTCGGAATGTCGATGTATTGAAGGATTGACCGTAAATCAAATCGTGATTGAACAAAATATATTTCAGCTTGACGAACGTTTGCCTTTTTCCTCTCTTATATCGTTATTTTTATATTGTCGTCGATTTTATTAGAGTTTTTTTTCGGGGTTCGCTCAGTTGGAGACTGCTATGCATTGATTTGGAATGATGCGTCTGCTTCTTTTTTTATTGACAAAGGCTCTTTGTTTTAGTCATTTTTCGGATGGCGTAAAAAAAGCGAGCAGTGCATAAAATGCGAGAAGAATAATCGCAACGAACGAAAAAGAAGACATAAAAAACACACGGTGAATAAATAAAAATGAGCCTAATGCATGCGATGCGCTGTTCACTGTTTTCGGTAAGAGAGAGAGGCAGAGAGAGTGATGCCAAAATCGGATTATTTTTTCTTGTCTCCATCGTGTTGTCGTTGGTTTTTTTCTGCTTGCGTAAGTCATCTATCTCATTTTGGAGTGTTCTGTATATCCAATTCCATTTTCCGCAAAATTACATGCAGTAAAAGAGAATTAAAAACGAATAAAGAATTGCGACGGATCGCTTGTGCGCGCGCGACTTCGGACGGCAAGATCATTATTATTATTATGAATTTGGTGTTTTGAGTGTATTGTAAATGCGCACGAGCGACATTCATTCGACGACATTAGCCACTCGCAAAAGGTGACTTCTTGCAAGAGCGAGAGTGAGTTGCAAAAATGCAGCAGCGCAAAAAAAAACGGCTTAAGATATTCAACATCCAGATTTGGTTCTGGCTTTGCAAAAAGGAGCATAGGTCTTCTCATTGAGTGACGAAAAGATACAGAGAATGACTAAATGCGTTGAGTCGTCGTCGTCGTCATTCGATGTATTACGCCACATTAGCAAGAAATGGACAAAGAATAAAAATCGGGTCCAAAGTGTTTTCGACGGACGAGAAAAAAAACCCGGCGAGCGAGAGATGAAAAAAAAAAATTACTTAAGATATGATGAGACGACAGTGATATGCCGAAAGAAACGAAGAAATACGAAGAATGCAAAAGAAATGAAAATCTCTTGGAAATAATAGACTCGGCCAGCGCTCATTTCGATTGAGAGGCACTAAAAAGATTATCCATCCGTGCAGCCGTGTTTTACCTCGGGGTAAGAATAATATGCATAACAGTGCATGAAACGGCGAGAACTCACACAACATGTATGTATGAAGTATGGTAGAAAAGGAGAGAGGGAGAGAGACGGAGAGAGAAAGAAACGAGCATGGCACGTCAGAACGATAAACGAACCACCATGTTGCCGCGACCACGGCAACTGATACGACAAGGCAGCCGAGCACTAAGACAATGTGTTCAACGCCAACTCCATTGCCCACAGAATATTTTAGCATAATTCTCTTTTCTTCTCTCTCGATGAACTGTTGTTGCTGTTTTTTCTTCTGATGCTGTGTGTGTGTGTGTTTGCTTTTAATGCAATGCCCATGAAGCAATCTCAGTCGGATTGCAAGCACGAAGTTGTGCCAACCGTTCGTTGTTGTTCGTCGTCTTCTTCATTTTTTTTCTGCATCAGTCCTGAGGGTGATCTTTTTTAACAAGTATTCGTTTCGCAGCAGCCAGTTAAGTTATGCACTATGATCGGCTTTTATTATCGTTTGAATCGTGAAGAACGATGACGGTGCGGCAAAACACACATCGACATTTTAAAATGCATCCCAAAACGAAAATCGAGACCAGAGGATTTGCTATGGAAATGAAATGCACTCGAAAACGCATTTATTCATAATGTTTGTAAATGCATAAATTGGCAAAAATTCACTGAATTTGTGAGTGGGATGTGGGAACTGTTTAGATCTTTGGGTTTCACGTCCATTTTGCTGAGACGTTATTTGTATTGTTTTTGCTTTTCTCCTTCACTTCTTATCGAGTGATGATTTTCATCGTGCACGAAACAGGAAAAAAAAATGTTCTTAATCATATTTTCTTCTAGGGCATTCTCGAGCCGTTTTACACCACGAACTTCGACTTCGTGTTTTTTTTTCTTTTTTCTCTCGCACCATGGTTGTTTGAATAACAATTACCCCTTTTGCGTGAATGCCAATTGAATAACGTTGATTTTTCTTCGATTCCCATTTTGATCTCATTGGTTGGTGAGATCTTCACGATGGTGGGAAGCGAGTTTCAGCCCATGAACTTATTCGTGGGGTAACAATAACTGTTTAGCATTCCAGGGTTATACTGAAATTTCGGGCAACTGTTTAAACGTTTTATAGTTGACGCATGGCAACCTGATCAATTTGCGCATGAGCAAAGTTGATATGTTAATTTCGGACTACCCAAATTTCGACCGCAATAAAATAGGGCAACTGTGTTTCTCCTTGAATTAATTTCATTTTGAAGCCTCAAACTGAACATAAAAATTGGACGATAAATTGATAATAAAAAGCGCCAACGAAAAACGAACTAATGGTTTGAGTGCTTTTCACAGAATGTTGAACAAGCAAGGAGATCCTTTGGTGCATTTCATATTGTTGGTGCCGATCAAAAACTCATAAAATCAACAATAAAAAGAAGCAGCAATAAGTGCTGCACGTTATAAAAACCGACAATCGAATGTGTGCGTGTGTGAGTGTGAGACTGAGTCGACAAAATGGAATAGAAGCAGCCGTGCCACAGAAATTCGTTAGGGTCGTTATTCTATTTTCGAAAAGTCGCCTCAATGCGCACGGTAACTAGCCTACAATGCATGAACAAGAATATGTGTGTGCGCTGTTTCCTTATTCGGATGTTTCTCCCTTTTTGTCAGTGCTGCATTTGTGTGTGTGTGTGTGTGTGTGACTGTGTGTACGATTCACCTACTGAATAGAAACTGTTCGTCGTCACTCGAATAGACATAGAGTATGCAACACTATTTTGTACACACAGATGTTGAAGTATTATTTCTACTGTGTTCGTTCATTTTGCACAAGTAGCGAGTTGATTCGGCTTACCGTGTTTATACTGTGCTGCCGTGCTCTCAACTTGAACCCTTCATGCTTTAACAACATTTGAACATACACACACACGCAACATGAATGATTGCTGTCCGATTACAATGCATGCGTTGAATTGTGTGTGTTTTTTTTTTCATATGGAAATATTCCTTGTTCTCAGCTCTCTCTCTCTCTCTCTCTCTTTCTATCGTCGCAAAGAACATGCGTGTGTAGTTCATCTACCGCTGACTATTATTATTAAATTCTATTATGTATTTTTTCATTTGCCCCAGTCAATTAATTCCTTAGATCGTTTGCGTTCCAGGAAATTCCGCCAAAATTTTGGCTTTACGATCGAAAGTTGTTTCGAGGAGAATTTGAATTTTTCTAAAGATTTGAATTGAGCTTCAATATAAAAAATTCTTGTATCAACACGTTTGGAGCAAATTAAGCACAAAAGATCAAACAGTAAAATATTTATAGTTAATGGGCACAACTTTTAATCCTCTTTTTTCTCTTCAAATTTGCCTCTGAAACATATTCCGAACGAAGTTTTAAAAGAAAATTGCCAAAATTGGATCAGAGATAGAGGCAAAAAAAATTAAACCAAAACATGGTGATCGATGCCCGACAAAAAAATGTATCTACTAATCCATAAGGATCGTATGTCGAATTGCTCATGCATGAGCACAAAAGGACGAAGACAGAGAGAGAGAGAGCGAGAGACGATTGAATGTACAGTGTTGCAAAAATAAGAAGAAGGTTCGTCGCTTTGACGATTCGTTTCGATATTCTAACTGCTTGCATGTGTATAGTTCAATGTTAGTTTTCTAGCATCGTCATTGCTATTGCACACCTGCGCATCCAATACCATTCCATTCCGAATGCATTTTGTTTGAAATTTGAACATTGAATGCATTTCATGATATTTCTTTTTGTTGTTGTTGTTGTCGTTATTTTTTTTGTATTTTTCTTTTTATTAACAATGAGCTGCAGCAAAATTGCTTCGAACGGACAGGCGAATAGATGAGGATTAATGTTGAGAAAAGAAAATAACGGCAGCAATTGGATTTTATATGTTGATATGTAGGTAGAAAAGGAAATACGGTTTTTTATTGCCAAACAAACACTTTAAACACACAAACCAAATGTAAATCTTTATTACAGTCATTGTTCGAAAACTGGCAAAATTCATTTAGCTTAAGATAAGCTTGTGGTAAAACAAAACAAAACGAAGAGAATATGAAAATTCACGTATTTCACTCGAAGCACACAATTTTATGTCACTTAATCTAGGGTCACAATTTTTTCTTCTGTTTTTTTTTGTAAAGTGCAAATCAGTCGACCAACGAAGAATAAAATATTCTTCTTTTGTCCTCTAATTTGCATACGATATTCATTTGAAAGAAAAACACTCACCTTCTGTTCCCGAGATTAATCCACAAAGTAGAATTGCACCCACAAATAATTTAATCCAAATATCCATTTTGTGAAATTGCCTGTTTGTAAACCACATTTTGAGCCACTTTGAAGGAAACTTTGATTATTTCTTTTCTTTCTCTATCCGTTGTTCTTCGTTTTTTCTTTTGATATCCGTTTTGCTGCGCTGACTTATTTTTTTGCTTTCAAAACACCATAAATTATTTAAAATTAATTATTTCTTGGTTTCGTTTTGCATGTGTCCACTGTGATTTGGGCTTCACTTTTTGAATTGTTTTTTTTTTGTTCCAATTGGCGTATAGAATAATACGCTGCGCTTTTTTTTTTAGCTTTTTTCTGAGTTGCGCACTTTTTTGTCGCTCATTCAGTCGTGTCAATTTCACACAAATATAAAAATTCTTTTTTTTTCGTTCACTTCTTTGTTGTTGCGAATATTTTGCACGAAAATCACCCAAAATCAAACAAAACCTGGTTGAACTATTCGCAGAGAATCCAACTCACGATTGTTGCTGACGAATGTCCGTTGTTGCTCAAGTAATCCATTTCATCGTTCTCATTCATATTCCACCGCTTTCGATTCAGCAATGATGCACATCTAATTTTGGAATTTAACCGACTACCGAATGTACGTTGTTGTCACCGTTTGGCTTTGCAGCCACACACTTAACGTTCGTTATTCAATCGAATACTTCTTGTCAATCTCACTGTTTCTTTGCACTATAATTGAATCGAACACGGTTCTTGTTCTCACTGCACGAGCAAAACACTTTTCACGAACCGTTTGCAGTTTTTATTGTTGGTTTCGAAGGAACGGTCCCTTTTCCTTCTTCAGAACTCAAACACAATACGAATAAAATGAAAATAATTCGTAAAATGAGAAGAAAAAAAAAAACGAATAAAAATGAAAACAAACAAAAAGCAAAAAATTGTTGGGATGAAAGTCAGTTACACATGCGCGCAGCTATCTGGTTTGTTAAACGGCTCAAACTATAGTAACCGATGCATCTGTTCCATGTCTTTTTCTCGCACCCAGTTCAATCGAGCAGCGCACCAACACATACGCAACACATGCGCACATACTCTCATCCGACGCTCGGCACACAGCATAAACACGGTTTACTACGGTTGTATTAGAACGGTTTACTTTGTTTACTCGTAGCCGCTTATCGGTCTCTAGGGCTTTGTCTCTTTCGTATCCCTTGTACGGCAACGATGAGACAGTATGTGTTGGCTCGCTCGCTCGTTGCTTAGGCTATAGCGTCAATGTTTCTATTTGAGCATTTATGCTGCATTCTTGTCTTCGCATAACCACATTGAAATCGAACCTCTTGTTGAATTCTTCCTTCAAAATGGCGTCCCATTCTTCTGAAAGAGACTGCATTTATGGTCGACTCTACTACCGTATTTGGTAATTTCAATCTGTTTGAATTTAAATGTTTGAAGCGATCGTTTGCATTATGAGTGGAGAATTTTAAACTTTTCAATTGAATTTCTTTTTCTTTTGTAAAAAATATTTATTGAAAATGATTTTTATTTAATTTTTGTCGAAATTATATACAATTTTTCTGCAGTAGTTATTTTTTTATTTGAATTCAAAATGTAGTAGATTCAATAATGGCGTCCACATATTTCAACAATATGTTGTTTACTTCACTCAAACAGGTTTCTCTACATATTTTCGCTGGGAGAGCGCACACTTTTTATGTGTCAACGGAGAGAGCGCTCCGAACAGCCGGTGAGAGAAAAATGTAAATATCACAGGGTGATTCCGTACATTTTATTTACAGTTCATCGTAACTGAATTAAATTAGATGGAATTGATTTGGATTTGGATTTGAATTTGAAATAGAAATAGAGAAAATGAATAAAAAAATTTTAACAATCAAAACTTCTACCAAAAGAAGTATACTTCTGAATATATACAAAATCAAATGAGAGATTTTTTTTCCAATGAAGATAGACAAAATAAATAAATTGATCGAAAATATCAAGAACTTCCGAAAAATCGATAAAATCGAAAGAAAATCGAAGAAATGATCAAAAATTGAACCCAAATCCAAAGAATAAAAAAGGCCCAAAATAAAACGTCCATTGTTTGTTACATTTGTAAAAATTTGCAAGTAAAAAGATCTTTATTGAAACAAAAATCCAACAAAATTCCTAAACAAACAATAAATTCTGAAACAAAATACTTGTTTGCATATGTCTGCATAAAACGAGTCGCGGCAATTTTGTACGTGGAAAAACCATCCGAAAAAAAACGATGTAAAAAATTAAATTCAAAATTGTATGTCTTATCTCCTCTATGTAAAGCAGCACATACGCCGGGCATTTGTTAAGGTAAGCATGTGATCGGCATGGAATTCAGATAATCACAGTAATTTTGCGACAGTTTTCCTTCTGTTCAAGTCAACGCATCAATTTTTTTTTTTTCCGTGGTGCGATTTTTTTCGTGAATGTAGTAAATAAGGTCTTAAAAAAATATCGTTCGGTCTATCGATGCTGTCAGATTTGTTAGGAATGTATAGAATAATAATAGGTAAGTTTTGCTTAAAGTTTGTGTGGTAGTCATTGCTTTGGTTGCCATTTGTATGAGCCGTAGTATTTGAAGTTATTTTCGCTGCATTTTGCGTTTGCCTCCTTTGGTCCTCTTGAACCGTAAACGTATGGAATTGGTGGAACGTGATTTGATTCAATCTCGTGCAGCAGCGGTGTGAAAATGCGCCATGCTTCGCTGAGTTCATCTGAGCGAACGAAGTGCATTTGCGAGCCGCAGAATACGTCCAAGATGAGACGTTCGTATGCGTCGGGCAATTTCACCTCCTGGAATAGATAAGAAAAATCACAATTAAATCCATTTCATTTTTTATTTTATGAAATTATTCGTTCAAAATCTTTTTTCTTGGTAAACACATTACCTTATAACGGCAACCGTAGGTAAGATCCAATTCGGTTTCTTCCATATCAAAGGTGATTCCAGGCGATTTGGTCATCATTTTAACGTACAATGCTTCACCCGGTTGAACTCGAATGACAAGCTCATTACGTTTTGGTTTTCCTTCGAAAATGTCGCCGGGCACATCATGGTACTGAATACGAACTTCTGCCTTGCGTTCATTAAGTGCTTTGCCGCATCGCAAAATGAATGGAACGCCATCCCAGCGTTCGTTGTTAATACGCAAAGCAGCCAATGCATAGGTTGGTGTGGTTGAACCAGCGGGAACGGTTGGATCGTCTAAGTATCCCAATTTGGCTTCACCTTCGCCATTTGGATCACCAACATACTGTCCCAAAACTGTGTCCCCCAATTTAATGGATTCGATGCTCTTCAGTACCTTCACCTTTTCGTTGCGAATATCGTCTGGGTGGCAAGAGGCTGGCTTTTCCATTGCAACCAACGATAGAATTTGCAACAAATGATTTTGCATCACATCACGAATGATTCCAAATTCATCAAAATAGCCCCCACGACCGCCAGTGCCAAACGGCTCCTTGAATGTGATCAAAACCGATGCAATATTCTCACGATTCCATGTTGGGCTGAATATCTTGTTGCCAAATCGAATTGTCATCAAATTTTGAACCATCTCTTTTCCCAAATAATGATCAATCCGGTAGAGTTGCTCTTCGCTGAACAATTTTCCCAAGTGGTCACTCAATCGCTTCGACGATTCGGCATCTTTGCCGAATGGCTTCTCGACGATCACACGATTCCAACCTCTGTTTGAATTAAAGGAATAATGAAGGATTGATTTTGATATTTTAGCAAACAATGTGAATAATTTTTGAATTTTTTTCACTCACTTTTGTCCCATACAAGTGGCCTTGATCAACTCGGTAACCGATTCGAAGACGGACGGTGGAAGAGCCAAATAGAAAAGACGGTTTGCGTGTGGAACATTTTCGAATTTCTCAATTTCTTGATTCAACAGTTCAAAGTCACGACGAGAGTCGTAGCTACCGGCAAAATAATGGTTCAATCGCCAAAACTCTTCGTATCTGGCCTGTTCTCCGACCTGAACTTGCATATAAGGATCGCATTTGGCACGCAGTTCTGGAATTGTCAATTTGGAACGTGCATATCCATAGAAAATGGTTCCAGTTGGCAACAAATTATCGCGGAACAACCACCAAAGCGTTGGGTAGATCTTCTTTTTTGCTAAATCACCCTGAAACACGAGCAACAAGTACAGAGTTAGATTTTTAATCAAATAATTGAAAGAGAATTTTCTTTAATGACAAAATAACACTCACCGATGCGCCGAATGTAATGAAAACATGAGGATATGAGGCATCAAAGTGGATGCCTTCCACGCGATCCATACTGTTTGATTTAAGTGAGCGTCGAATTAATTTCAATGCCTCTTCAGTAGTTTTGGATGTATCCGAACCGTGTCCTGTGAACAAAGTCAGAATGCAGAATGAGCAACTGATAAGCTAAAGTGAGGCTATAAATAATAAAATTTTCGGTATGATGACTAAATTCATTTTTATCGCTATGGTTTCACATGGCGGAAAACGCGCGGAGAATCAGCGAATAATGACAAAAATTGAAATTAACGAAAATAACCAATGAAAAGAGCTAACTGATAATCAGTAAAAAAACGTTTGAGACGTTTATAAGATTCCATTTATAATGACATATATTACATGTATGTGATTTTTGAATATAGAAAAAATGTGGATGATAATATTAGCGTTTTAGAGTGCGATAGTGATGTAATATTATTTTTCAAGTGCAACAATTAAAGACAATTGAAATGAACGTATATTTTAATCAAAAGACGGAAAATAAGTTGGACGACGTATATGCATGCATTGTTCTTGATATGCATGCTGCGCTGACAAGTTTACCGCCACAGAGATGCAACGCATTTTGAAATTCCAACCGGAGTGTGACGTAAATTTTAGACTACGTGCATAAAATCAAATCATCATCAACAAGTCAATGGGCCATAGAGTGCCCAGCGAACTTTGACAGAACTTTTTACCCCCGAAAAAAAACCGTTTAGATTCCACGAACTTCTTGACAAATTTCCTAACGAAAACTGTGTTTTTAATTAGTAAGCGTGTAAACTAGAATTATTCATCAAGTTTAACATAGTACTAGCCAAACTGTCAAGCGCTCACGCGTTTGAAACAAATTATAAATCCAAATTTATGCAGGTAAAAAGGTTCAATTGTTTTAAAATTGCCGCACATTGACAACGGTTATTCGATTTCTATGGCCGTTTTGCAAGGTTAATTTTAAACAATCACAGCTAAACACGATGTAGCTATTTTTCCTTCTATCTCTGCGTGTTTTATTCATTCACTTATGGATTAATAACAATTACGTGGCATATAATTTTTCATTGTGCGCTAAATGCTAAACTGCATATTTAAATGTCAACACACACTGTTGGCATTACGTTTCGCTGTTGTCAACTCAAAAACATCACTATCAAAATTATACGAAACAAATGATTGAGCAGAAAAAACAACGAAAATTTGTATAAATTTGAAGTAAAAATAGTTTCAACTCTATGATGCCATTCAATTCAGAAATAAAGCGAGCAACACCACGTTTTTTGTATCTCTTTCAATCAGGAAATGCAACGATATATTTCTCTATCTCAAAAATGTAAATAAAGTAAACTGAACCACATGTAACTACGTTGCGTTACGACTGCGTGTAAATAATCGCGATTATAATTTACATTTATCCGGTTGCGTTGGAGACTTCTTGACAACACACCGCGCGTATTTACACATGAAATATTGAAATTGGAAAGTGTCAAACGAATAGCAAACGATAGCAAATATATGAAATCTTTACCTAAAAAGATGCTGAACTTTTTTTTGCGACTGTCGAAAATCACACACAAAATTTGACTGAATGGATCGGTTGCGCGTGGAAATGTGGCTCAGCTTCAAACACACCGAAACAGTTCTAACCTAATCCAAGCGGCAGTACGACAACGAATAAGCACAAATCGAACCACTTGTTACGTGCGATAAACACAACAAAATTCTCCTATTCCTTACACATATTCACGTATTCCTGCCGTTTTCGCGTGATACTATCCATATATGAATAATAAAAGTGCGGCGCGTAAAAATAGAGAACCAGGCGGAAAAACACAAAAAACCACAACCGCAGTAGTAGTAACAGCAGCAAAAAAATTGTGGCAATCCGCACGTTAGCACAGGCACATGTGCACGCGGTCTCTCACTCTGTCATCATCGAAACGATTGGCCGTGCAAATGACTGGAAACAGAGGGATAGTAGACACAACGAAAGCGGGTAAGACGAAGTAAAATACAAAACATTTCATTCATTTGATTCTTTCGATGCATAGCTGTAGTAGTGTGTACGGCTCGTTTCTTAAGGCTCGACGATGTTTGCGCCGTACAGTTCTTGACGCTGTTGCTGTGACTGTAACTGTGATATACGATAAAATGTGCACTCACACGCTCAAGAGCGTAAATCTGTGTTTGTGCAAAAACATCGCATTCAATTGGCGAAAGTCAAGTTCACAAACACGCGCACTCACTCTAACCATTTGAATATCGTAAGACATTCACCGTTTACTGCTTTTCAACGACTTTTATCGGTAGTACGATCATTTTAACCGCTAATATCGATTATTATTTAATTGTCTTTGATTTTATCCTTTGAACCGTTTATTGACAACAATTCTACTGTCTCATTGAGTATTGAAATAATACATTTCTAAGGCTTACATGATTTTATATCATTGAAAACTATAAAATTATCAGTTTTTAGGTACGGTTTTATGTTTGATTTCACGGTGAAATTTAAGCTTTTTCTAACATTCACCAATGAATTAATTGCTACTAGAAAATGAATCAGCAGAAAGCAACGGGCAAAAATCTTAATGTAAACGGAAAATTACGCTCTATGTGACCAATTTTGAACAAAACGCATCGGCCATTATCATTAGACAAATGCTGGCTACGTTCTGATTTTAACTGGTGTGCAAACAATTCTTCTCTGAGCTGATGCTACCGACAACGACGACGACGATGACGACGATGGCAACAACAACAATAACGATGAAAATGTCGTTGTTTAGAACACAAGGTGGATCAACTGAGAAGATAGTGTGTCGTCACGACTCATTCAATCGACGGTTGACAAATGAACGCATTGCAACTCGACGGCGCAATGGTCCAGTGATTAAAGTGTTAGTTTCAAATGGTCATGAGCTCGAATCCGTCGTAGGTAAGTTCGAGGTAAGTGAAATTCGTTGGTGAAAATGCTCGATTAATTGCTGTTGTTCCTTCTTTACCAGATCGCCCAATGGATGGATGATGCAGCAATATTGCGTTGCCCTGGTGTGTGTCTGCCTTTTCCAAACGAAAGAGGACACTTCTGGGGGCTCGCACTCAGAGTAAGGTGATTGTTTGTGAAAAAAACAACAAACGGTTTTTTCTTTCATTTTTTTTTTCTCAAACTATCTTAACTTCCTTTTAAATTTCAATTAGAACATTTTGCCTCCATTTTTCTGGTTTCAATTTTTAGATAACAAAGAAAAATAAATCATCATTTATATAGGAAACGTAGTATTTTTTTTTTCGACAATAGAACAAAGGAGAGCTAGTTTGAATGCGATTCTTCAAACATGTTTTTCTTCATTGAAGAAAAAAAATGGATCCAAAACTTTGGGAAAGGGAGAAAACACCAATAAAATTATTCCATTTATTCCACACCGTTGCTGCAAGAGCATTACCACTAGCGACGGATAGCAGTTACTTCATTAACACCCGTATTGAAGTGCAATTATCACCAATAAATCGAATCAATACTTTGATTTTGAAGCGCCGCGATACAGTTGATAAATGTAAAATATATAGAATTTCTATACATCGAATCGGCTTCGCGCTTCCATCTAGTCTAAAGCATGATCATTGATAAAAATTGCACGTATTTTGTTGTTGTTTATGACAATTCATTTGTATAATATCAGTATCACGTTTTTGGAGAAAGGGTAACGTACAAAAAACCATGCACACAATGTCATGACACAGAAAATGCGAATAAATTGTAATATTTTATGGACGAATGATTTGATTAACCAAACAATCCAAGCGAATACTGATAACAATTTCAGCTTGATACACTTATATATAAAATGTTAATGTATTGTCGATGATAAGAAGCCGCGAAAAAGTATTCAATTCATAAAAATGTAGTGATAAGCGTTTTTTTTCACTTCTTTTCCATGTAGATTCTTAAAAGAAGTAACCAGATCAATTATCAGGTTATTTAATAGATAAAGAAGAAGAAAGTGTTTACGATTTTTCTAGACGAACAACGTGCAATCTGGTGGCAGGCAATCAGCACACGTGAAGCTCTTTCCGTTATTTCTGGGGGCATGACTCAGTGTTTGACCTTCAGCAAGTTCACCGAATTGACCATCAAAGTATCAAAGAGCTGTGTTGTACGCACATCGCTACCTCGTAGAAACTAGTCACATACAGCGATCGATTCATACCGCCAATACATACGTCACCGCCTCGAAATTGGAATTGCCTTTGAGCGTTCTGAAATCATTATTTTCCCCAACCACAGTTCAATTCGATGTGTAATGGTTGAATCAGTGTATCAAATGTTTTTTGTCGTTCTTTTTTTCCCAAAAACAGAACCAAATGAAATTTTGCATTGATATTCATAAATTTTGTTTCGGTCATATTGAAGTTGCAAATGCGATTATATAAGACAGCAATGTCACCATAGGTTCTGATTAGAGCACGGAGGTCACGTTTTACCCTTCCCACGAGCCTCGATTGAGCATTTGCCCCTAACATTTTTTCGATTTTTGAATTGATCCCACGGAGTTCGAAATCACCTCTTCAACATTTTGTGGTAAAATTATCTATAGAAATCCACTCTGCATTTCTCTGAACATTTTTGCATTGGCGAATCAACGAAAAATTATAGGAGCCATTTTTTCCAAATTTAAATGCTAAATTGGCTGATTTCAATTTAACGAAAAAGTGCAAAGTTCATGCTCCAGTGAATAAACTTCATTACTTTGATTTTTATGCTTTTCTTCAGATTTGTGTATTTAAGTACAAGTTTTCTGAATGAATGATATTCAGATACGAATAAACTAAAAAAGGGAAAGATTACTAAAAGGGAAAGATTACTAAAAAAGACTCATTACTAAAGAGAGCATCTCGAGCACTCAAAATGCAGTATGCCTTCTACTTGTTTCAAGTGTTTGTTTATTCCATTTTGTTATAAGTGATTGTAAAGTGGACAAAAATGGAATTGATGTAATCGACCCAAAAAAAGCCGGAAAAAATTATTTTATTGCCTTCACCAATGCTCCAACGTATAGTTTCAGTGTCACTCATAAGTTTTTTTTCCAGTGTCACTCATAAGTTGAATTTCAAGCAAATTTTTTGAACTCCCCCCAAATTTTTTCGTTCTTTCGAAATTACCCCCCAAATTTTTTCCATTTTTCAAAATTACCCCCCCTTAAATCGCAAATATCAGAACCTATGAATGTCACCGGGTTACGCGATGAAGTAAACAAAACTCCATCTACACTACTAGACTTCAGTCATTCAAATCGAAGAATTATAAATAGAATTGCGTTTGCAATAAAAAAGAAACACAAAAAGCGTATAACAATTTTTACCTAGTGTGAATCTTAACGCATTATGACCGTTTTTAATGAATGTTGATCGATTCAAAAGGCGAAATAGTTACTCCGCTCGACATTTCATTTCAATCCATGTTTCCAAGTATCACGAGTTCCGATCATTAAATTTCATGTTCATTCTGTCATCGGCTCATTATTGATTACTCCATTTATTTCCATTTCAATCGGCTTTTATTTATCTTGAGCAAGGTTTCAAAGACATTGTACGATTAGTTGTAAGAAACAATGTGCTCTGTCTGAAGCAATTAAGAAAAAAAAAATACAAAATGCGTGACGAAAACTTGCGGCCGCATTGACCTACAAATATAATAGACTGATCATATCCATTCACTTCACATGCAGCTATACTATTAGTTCTGCATTTAGATTTGTTGCTGTTGTTGTTTGTTTAATCCATTCACTAATAGCAAACAACAACATATAGCCGGGTCGTTCACAGTATATACTGTGTACTGTATAGCGTCTATGTTATATGGACATAGATCGTACGTTGGGAATGACTCAAATGTAGAACTGATTGAAATACTTTCTACGTGTTTTGAAATTCACTCAAACAATAACGATAAAGAAGCCCATGTGCCAATTGTCTCTTGTAGTCTTTGATTTGGTTCAAAAATAGTAATCGGAGTAATTGAATTTTTTGCTAAATGCAAGAGACGACCTCCAAATTGGAGCCTCTAATGACCTGTCCAAATCACTTCATTTGGAATTCTTACTCAACTTTGTATGAAATTTCACTCAAAATCACCGTGAAGTATTTATGAAGAAACATTTTTGCCACCCGGGGAAAATACGTGCTAACTTAACGTCTAAAGGTTACAGAAAGTTATCATTTCGCCGTTGATATTCGTTAATTCAGTGTCCCATTGCTGTTCATCCAATAGAATCCGATGAAGTAATCAAAGGAAATCATGCTCGAGATTAGCGATTATTTTATTTCAAGAATTTTTCCATTTCATGCGGTTTCAAGTGATGTTCAAGTGACTTTGAGAACTCACGATTCAATCTAATAGTCTATTTAAATCTAATAGTCTAGTCGGTTTAATAATTTTAAAGTGAATTTTTCTAAATATCAGGCCGGATATATCTATCAACAGCGTATAGATTTGAAGCCAAAAAACAACGAATCACGTATATTCAAAAACACTTTTATGGATGATTTTTTGTTTTCGTTGAACACTCCTCAATCAAATGATAATAGAAGTTTAAAGATGATTTTTATTTTCAATCCAACTCTGACTCACCTGTCATTTTTGCAGTTTTTTTTTTCTAAGGCTGATAATCCAATTAAATTCAAAAAATATAAAAAAATGTATTCACAAACGTTCGGCAAGCAACACAAAAAAAAAACAAATACTATCCAAAGAAATTTGAAAGACAATTGAACACAAACCGAAAAAAATCACTTGTGCTCACTTCAGTAATACGACAAATACTACGACTCACAACGAACTGAATGGTTAAAATTACGTTGTATGAGTGCTCAACACATACGCTCTAGCCGATGCTTCGCTTATGAGCTCGGGCTCACAGATTGCTACTACTCTATGCATAGCCCATGGACAGCAGAGCGGCGCGTTTTCGATGTGTTGATATTTTTTTCGGTGTAACATACATCTACATACATTGTCTACATAGTAACATATGTATATTTACTGCGTATCACGTTTGAGTTTTGTTTACGCATATTGCTCGAACGGTGTGTTTTACAACTACGTATGAGTTTTACACATGTTGATGTATTCGTCAGAATTTGAGGGGTTCCACAAATCAAGTTTAAAAGAAGAAACTGTTTGAATTTTTTTATACCTGGTATTTTTTAAAAGGGATTTTGTTGGATATTCCATTTCTTGCTTTTGTTATTGTGAACAAAACGTAAAATCACAGCTGGAACGGTGTGTGTTGAGTGAAAAAAAATGCTTGTTTCATTACATTCCAAAATAAAATCGTTGATTTTCATCTAGCTTTTAAAAATGTTTATTATTTTCACATAAAAATAATTCATGTATGTACTTAATTACATATCTCTTAAGAATTTAAACGACTCTGCTTCGTTCAAGTGGTTGTGTTAAATGTTTGTATCCATAAAAAAAGTCTCAAAAAATGTTAAATGTGAAATCCTGAGTCCAAAGATGGTTGAGCGTTTTACCATCGTTTTTGGAAACCGCCACCACCACCACCTCCACGTCCTCTGAAGCCACCGCCGCCACCGCCACGACCAAATCCACCTAGAAAGAGAAATGAAACGTACGATTGAGTCGTGATTCCCAATGAAAACAATTTTCATAATGATTTGAGCACAAATAATATAAAATGATGATAAATATGCTCAAGTGTCAACTATAACGAAAATTTATCTTTTTTCTGTTTATTATCGTGTTTTACCTCCACCTCCTCGACCTAAAATATCAAACAAATAGAAATGAATGGAAAATTAGTTTGATTCACACTTTTTATGATAGAATTTTATTGGATTAAGTAAATTTGAATATGCTGAACTTACCACCGCCACCTCCAGCACCTCCACGTCCTCGGAAACCACCGCCGCCACCTCCTAAAATGAAAAATATTCCATTTTAGTGCATTGAATTTAAAATTTTAGACAAATTGAATGCATTTTTAAATTGAACAAGAAAATTAATTCGAAATTGCACATTTTATAAACGTAAATTGATGAAAAATGATGCAGCCCGAGTCGCAACAACTCGTGATATTTATACAATCGCAAACTTCAAACTTTTTTTGAACAAAAGAAGAATATATGAGGCTGTGAGAATGAAAATGGCAATACAGGAATAAGCATTCTGAAGCGCACCAAGAAAAAAAAATTCACAAAAATGAATCATGAGTTCTGAATACGCAAAAGTGAACCATAAACCTCCTATGCTGCCCATGTAAATTCATGTTTCACTTTTGCATATTCAGAACTCATGATTCATTTTTGCGAATTTTTTTTCTTGACGCGTTTCAGAATGTTCATTCCTGTATTGCCATTTTCATTCTCACAGCCTCATATTCGAACGAGAGTTCGTCCGAGATATTTACCTCGGCCACCAAAGCCTCCTCTACCGCCACCACCTGAAATGGAAAATAAGTGATTTTAAAATGAAAAATGTAGACAAATTCAATCCATTTTTGAATCGAGCAAGATAAGCAATTTAAAATGTCAAATTCTACCAATTGAAAGTGATAAAATGTGATGCGGCTTAAGTTGCAACAATCCATGATGTTTATTCAATCGCAAACTTTGAAATTTTGCTTTAGAAAAAAAGATATAAGATAATTACCTCGGCCGCCACCTCCCCTACCACCTCCGACTCCTCCAGGTGGTCCCTTCTTCTTCGGCCCTTTTGGTGCTGGGGGTTTTGGTAAGAATCTGTGTAGTGGCAACAATTTTCCTGGATCGATGAACAACTGTCAAACAAAAAGCGTATTAATTCGGGCTCATACGTATTGAAAATGGGGATAAAAATGCGGTTTTTCGTAGGCATACCTTTTGCTGTGACTTAAAACTACCAGCTTTCATATTTTCACCGAGTTTTATTGTGACATAGTAGTCGCGTAAGTTGCCGAAAATTTCGTCAATTTTTCCGATTTGTTCCTTATTTTCCAAGAAAATTGGTGCATTGAAATATGGAACATCCTGAATTGTAACCTTGCAAACTAAATCATCTTGGCACACGTAGTCGAAGTAACCAACTGGAATGACTTTTTCTGGGGGTCCAGCATCGAATTTTTTGAAAGCGTTTCCACCGCCTCTTCCAAAGCCACCACCGCCGCCACGGCCTCCACCTCCTCGACCGCCACCACCACCTCTATTAAATCCACCGCCTCGTCCACGGAAACTCATGGTCTACAAATTGCCTCGTTGTTTTGACTAAATTTATTGCCTCAAAAACTAACTATTTTCAGTTAGTTTTTTTTATCCTGAAAATACAACGCAAACCACACAAATTGGATAAACATTTTTGCATAAACAAACAATTTATTCCGCATAAAATTGAAGAAAAAATGAAAACAACATTATAAACAACATTTACCGACAACGCGTTTGTAATTAAGGTTAAGAACTGAGTATTATGATGCACGTGTTTGAAAGATAACTCAACTGTCAACACTCTTCCATCTGTCAAACGACAACGACGACGACGACGAAGTGAGTGCGTTCACTACTACACTGTTTGAATATTCCCTCAAATGAAATGTTGCGCAGGGCTGCGCATAAAGAAAACGCTCGTTTTCAATAGTGATAACATTTTCCACGCATAGATTTTCCATTCATCCACCAAGAACAGTGTTCATTCATTTGACGTTTTGTTGGTGGAAAAACATCAATATGTTTTAGTTCATACCAGCATTTAGTTTACGCCAATATTTTCGTTCCGTCACATTCGTTGCCATTGCTCTAGTTAATTTTGTTTTTTTTTCAACTGTTAATTAGTGCTAAAATTAATCGATTAAATGACTGATTTTAGTGAAGGTGAAGATGAGGTGTTTATTCGTTATGAGGATGATAAAAACACAAGCAACAATAGTGACGAAGAAGAAGAAATTGATGTAGCAGCTGGGAGACGATGGGACCCACTTGGCGAAGAAAAAGAAAACGATGAGACAGTCGTCGACCAAGCGTCGCGTCACGAAAGGTAATCAATTGCTTTTTGTAAATGATAAAATTGAAATCTAACGCGAAATTCGGGCATTTTTTTTCAGCATCGACGGTAATAATACGCAAATTAAGCAGTTGGAAAATGAACAAGAGCTGCTGTCTACGTCACTGCAAGCATTGACGTCACATTTTGCTCAAGTGCAATTTCGGTTGCGTCAAATTGTTGAATCTCCAACTGGCGATCGTGATTCGTTGCTCCAGAGTCTCGAAGAGTTTGCATTTCGTGGCATTCCAGAAGTGATGCGATTAAATCCACGCGAACATGAGAGTCTGTACAAAATTATGGAACGGCAACAGAGTCGCCAATTCGAATTGATCGAACACCTGAAGCAGCAGTTGTCTGATGCCGAGAAATTTGCCTACGAGTCAGGTGCCGACATATTGCCACAATCAATTGTGGTGGAAAAACAAAAAGCCATATTTAACGAATTGAAAAATAAGCTCAAGTTAAATGTTGACGAAAAAGTTTTGCCTCAATTGACCGAAGATGATATTCGCGCCCAGGTTGATAGTGCAATCGGCGAATTTGTGACACCACTCAAAATGCAAGATACCCTTGTGAGTCAGTTGAAAACACAGATAGTAGACTTGGAGCGTTTTGTTGCTTATTTACAAGCCGAACAGGAGCTCACGCCCGAGATCAAAGCGGCCATTAAGAATAGTAAGAATCCGGAAATTGCATTTCAAACGTACAACTCGAAAATGGCTCGCAGTCGAAAACAGTCACAATCAGACAGCGGGAAGGAGCAAAAACCGAACAAAGCTGGAACAAGCAAAAGTGATTACATTCGAGGTCAACAAAGTCGAGTCGACCATGACCTCACTGGGAAAATGTCCAATTTGTTAGTCAAGGCGTCTGCCATTCTGGATATGTTCGCATTAACCCAGTTGGGATGCGGTAGCCAACGCATTCAAAGAAACAGTTTGAAGAAAACTCAAAAAGGCAACCATTGGGGTGATTTACGTGCTCAGCTCGAAGTCGATGTACAGGAGGTCATATTGTTAGTTTCGACCGTTGAAAAGTTGCAAAATGAAAGCAAAACGATTCAAGAGTGTGACTCAAGCGAAACTGATGATTATGAAGACGATTCAGCGGAAAATGTAAGTGAAAATTACTTGTAGCGTATGTTTCTTCTACCTTGCAATTGATTGAATCGAATGAATTTAATACCCAAAACAATTCTATCAACAGCCAAAATCAAAACGAAGACCCAGCAAAGCGGACAAAGAGTACATTGCAACGACTCAGGCCGAAATAACGGCATTGGTTCGCAAACAGTTTGCTATTACACTACAGGGACTCATGCAGCACGGCCTTCGTGATGATAGTAAAACGTCCACAAGTTTAATGCCGTTCATTGGATGTATGATGCCATTTCAACAGCAGGCAGCCGCTCACAGGCATCGCGTCGATGAAACAGAAGATCGGCCCAATGAACAGATGCACGTGTGGGAGCTCATCTTAGAATATTATCATATCAAAAACGGCGATCAATTCAACGATACACCAGCTCGAAAACTCTCCGAATCATTCAATTTAGATATCATGGGTCTTGGTTCACAATCATCTTCCAATAAGCATACCATGCTCACGGCCATCGGTAGCATCATTGCGTTGCACGCCCCATACAAACGTAGCTACAATTCACACTTCAAAGCGTTTATTTCAGCCGCTCTAAAGTGAGTGAAGAAGATTTCATCTTGAAAAGCCATACTTTGACAATTTTATAGAAGAAAGTTTTGCAAATGATAGAACGATTCACTTTAACTAACAGATTCTTTTCATTTTCTTCATTATTATTTCAACAGTGCCCGTAAGCTGACCCAATGGCTGAATTTGATCTATCAAAGTCAAGAGCTCATCGAACAATACTACACAGAATGGAGCTATGTGGCACATACGGGATTCCGTGATGCTCTTCGAACCATCGACCGTTTGTCACACCATGATTTTGATTTACCCGTGGATTTAGCCGTACGACAATTTCAAAACATCAAAGATGTTTTCATGTAAACGTATCCAAACAAAAAATTATTACCATTTCAATTTAAATCTCATGTTAAGTACTTAATTTTCATTCCGATGGTCATGTTTACCCGTTTACTATCTCATTCTAATATTAAGAAATAAGTTCGATTACATCCGAACCAAAGCGATTTAATCAAACTCCGTACAGGTTTTAGTTCTTTTTTGTGATATTTTTTCCTGTTCTACATGACATTTTCATTTATTTGCCTAATTAAATTCATTCCAGTATAATTTAGTCTGAAGAAATTAAACTGGACACGAGACGTTGAATAAGATGTATTTATCCCTTTCACAAGTCTAATTGCATTGTTATAAACATAAATCTGGTTGACTAGAATTACTTAATTTAAATTTTAAACACTACCAATGTTTCAAAATGTAAAAAAAGATACAATCAATAAAGACTTTATTGCAAACTTATACAGGCGTCTACTGATATAAAAATGGACTATTTTTCAAAGTTCCATTGAAATTCAAGATTTCCCTGAACGTCCAAAACAAAAAAGATAAACATCAAGTCCCCGAATTGGAGCATCATCATGATACCAAGTTCAATGGAAAGAAGAATTTCAAAAATTGAATGATATTCTGCTTTGATCAGCTTACTTCAACTCACGTACAACAGATGGTGCTCATGACTGTTTAAAGCCACAGCATTATTTTCAAAATTTTACTTTGCTTTTTATCAATGGTTTCAACCGATACTGCATATCAAAAGATAGTAAATTGATAAAAGAAAACAGACCTTTTTTCATGTCAAAAAATTTATTATATTGCCCAAATAAGAGAATAAGTTTTACATAAAGCGATTTGTCATTAATTTTTTTCTGTTTTTGCGTAGTATAAAATATTTAAGTTTATTGTTATCGGTTAATGTCATATGATGCATTGAAATTATGGAATTTCTTAAATGATTAACAATTTTAACATTTCGACATCGAATAGTATATCACATTAAAAATATAGTTGTTAAATAAATAAATGTGGTTGGTTTTTCTTTAAATTTGCTTCATATATGCGTTTGGTTAATAGCGTCGGGTTATATTTACTACAGACTAATGTGTTTGTATGCGTGTGATTCGTAACGAATGATTTGGTTCAAGTGGAATGGTGAAAAAAAATGTTAAATTAATCGATCTGTGTCAATGAAAATGTCGTCGTATCGTTGAATGAGCACCTTGATCAATAAGTTGCGTCGCAGCAAATCGCTGGTTTCAAAGGCATTGGTAATACTGACGGAAGATGTAAACAATGAAGCGCCCCAAACAATCGACAAATTCGTAGCATTCATTAAATTGTATTCGCGATTGGCGTCAACGCTGTAATTAAAAATACAATTGATTGTCAATAAATCGTCAGTTTAATCAGAACATGTCGAAATTCTTCAATTGTAATTACCGTATGAGATGTTGTAGTAAGTATTTCAGCGTCTCTCGTGACAAGTAGTCAATGGTGCTGATTCCATCTCGAATGGAGGCCAGACTAGCTTCACTCTCTGTAAATCGAATTGAGATTTTTAATTTTTATTCAAAGTCAGTTCAATTCCAGAAATTCTAATTCCATTCAAATAATAAATGAATTTACCTAAATCGTTGGGTAAATTTTTCACAATATCGTCGGAAATCAGTTCAGTTTTAAGCTCTCTAAAGAATTGCTTTAATGCACCAGTAATCGTGTGCACATCTTCATCTTTTAAAGATACATATTTTGTTCCTTTTCGAAGCTTTGATTCATTCATCTATCGAAATGAAAAAGACGTTGAATTAATTAGAAATATTGAGCCAAATCGAAATCGTTTTTTTTTGTTCGCTTTCCTCACCCTTTTTCTCAATTTATCAATGCTATCTTTTTTGCCCGAGGCACGATAAATGCCGTTTGTTCTCAAGTTCTCTTCGACTTCAATCACTTTGATGCATTCGACCACGAATTTCGGGATGTCCGTCAGTTTATCATCTTTTTCGACATCCTCCAAAGTGGCCCCGAACACAGTGGTCCCAGTGTGATTCAGCCTTTTGATCTCCATCGGCGGCGATGATTCTGCGAGCATCTTTCCGTTCAGATTCTTATAATGAAGGCCTTGAACGTGTTCGTCTTTTTTCGAATTGCCTTTGGCTCTGCATTTTAAAAAGCAGAAATAATGAGATGATTAATTGGAAAATCGTGTCAATCGCAACCACATATCGAATACTTACACATCGAAGCGTGTTTTCACATTGTATTGCACTGCAAATAAATGAATTTAAAGAAACAAATTTGTTATTTGTGAATAATACGTGTTCCAAGTATGGTATGTTTACTACGTAGAAACAGTCGTTTTCGATCGATAGATGTAATAATAGATGAGATTGAATTGATTTCCAGTTGTAATGAATTAATTAGCTTACATTTATTCAAGAAACCAGATTCTTTCTTGCTTTTGCTTTCGTTTGTCGCCGTTGGTGATGTGGACGGAGTCGACGAATTCACTGATAATACATCTGATGATAGGTCAGTTTCTTCGGTTTTGTCGCTTTGAATAGAACTTTTCGTTGTATCCGATACCGATTCATCCGATTGGGCACTCTGAAGGTTATCGTTATTTTGATTGTTATATTCAGCCGACTTCTGATGAAGCAAGTACGATTCCGACAGAATCTAAATTAAGCAATTAAAAGAATGAGATCATTTCAAAAATGAGTGAACCATACGAACATAATTCATATAATGAAAGCCATGTGTCCAAATGTGCCTATCTATCATCAAACGAGTTAGTTTACAAATGCAAAAAAAACAACAACACTAGACTCACCACGTCTTCTTCGTCGTCAATATAATCAACTGTTCGAAGCATGGATTTCCATGCGTTTACACTGTCTAATTTGATTGCAATTTCTTGTTCCTTGCATAAATTGGCCGATTGTTTTTCAACTTTGTTTGACCCATTTGCGTTTGTTGTACAACAATTACTTTCGGGACCCTCGTCCATATTATTTCGTTCCGTATTCGCACTAAATTCCATTGAGTTGCCATTGTAATCATAAATGATTTCATTCCATTTGGGATTTGTATTACTGTACAGTACGCAAATCGTCTGATAAAGTGGTTTTTCATTCGTATTACACTGCGCAATGTTGTTTGCGTCCACTTTCGGCATCTGTATCTCGGAATCGGCTGTATGACTAATCATGATTGTCGGTCGCGTGACATTTGAATGATGAACGGAATCGATGCGTTGACTGGAGAAAAGGAATTCTTCTTGTGCGATTTCCCATTCGTTGGCATCATGAACTGTTGTATCATCACTTTCATTTTGGCAAGTGTCAAAATTGTTCAGTGAATCCTCATCATCTGGTGGTGTGTCAACAGCCGTTCCAATCGTTTTGAACATCCAAATCGGTTGATAAATATTCTCTTCGTTCCTCTTTGAACTGTCTTTTCTCTTCACTTTATTTCCTATTTGGTTTCGCGTGGCTTTGTTGACACATGCTGTGTCCGTCACTTTTGTTGTTATTGTTGTTGGTGATGAGTAATCGGTTTTTTTCACTGTAAAATCGTTCAACGATTTGCCACAAATATTTGAATCTTTGGCACCAAGCTTACTGAAATCATCGAATGTTTTTTTCATTGTTCCTGCATCGATAATGCTGGGTCGTCGTCGATACTTTCGTTTGACGAAATCGTCGATTGATCGCTTGTAACGTGCCCGCAGTGGGGTTCTTAGCACTAGGTTCGCTGACCTTATTAAAAATGCATTCGTTATCGCTGAACGAGCTCTCCGACCTTTAGTCAAACGATGTTCAACACTCTCATTTATCGCTTTACCTATATCACATTCACCTAATTGTTTCTTGATGCCCATTTTGTGAATTAGCTCGATAATTTGCTGCAAATCCGTATACTTAGCCGGTTGTACTAATTGCTTTGAATACTGTAATGAACTTTGCGGTTGACTCACTAAAAATTTCAACAAAAAATTAACACGACGATCACCACACACGAGCACTATCCGATTGAGACTGGTCGACAATGTGACTTGTTCCATGTAAAATGTTTTAAGCATTTGCAAATATTGTGATGTGATTTCGAGCGCGATATTATGATTGATATGCTGTTGTCGGTCATCGTCGTCGTTGTTGCCATCGCTGTAATTTGTACTGGATAAATACGTAACTTGATTCATTTGTTCACGCGACGGAAAAATTTCCATGAGATTTTCGTCGATGGCGCTATCACTTCCATTTCGATGACAATACGAGGATGGTAAAAGGCTTGATGATGACTGAACGTTGTCTGCCGTTGTCATTGTCGTCGTTTCAATATCCGGTGCAATAGCATCCGGATCTATTGTAACATCGCATATTGAATCTTTAATGTAAATGGCATTTCGTTTCGAATGCATTTTGTGCTCCATTAAATTCTCTTTAAATAATTCGATGCGCCGCAGTATTTCGCTTTGACTGCCATCGCCAGTCACATTTGAACTCATGTTCATATTGTCACCGTGCTCAATTGACCATTTCAATTTCGTTGCACTTTCATTGAGCATTTTTGATGGCAGACATTTAGTTGAGCCACATTCAAATTGTCTACTATCATCGGTGTATTCGTTGGGTTGCCGCTTAAGCGATATCAACCATAGCTTCACCGAATCATCGGCGTCGTCAAACAACGATAAACTCGCGTTTGGTGATTTTCGTTCGCCTCCTGCCAATGAACGGGATTGCAGAGTCGAGACGGATGATGAATCGTATGTGAAGAATGATGACGCCGATGTGGAATCGTATACTGTTGGTTTTATCCGAGCCCTTAGTTTGAATGGGCGAACGCTCGCGTATTTGCTATGCTGTATGGCGTCTTCATAACTTGGGGGCGCATACGAATTACTATATAATATCGTATCACTGACTATTGACTCCGAATATGGAGATTGAAAGTGGGGTGGCGACAGATGATAATTTTCGAAGAAATTTGAATCACTATTCGACGCTCGAAATAAACGAATCGGTTTTGATGGCGGCACTTCTCTACAAACTATTTCATCGCTACCGTTTATTAATTCACTGCACGTATTCGTTCTTTGTTGTTGTTGTTGTTGCTGCTGCTGCTGCTGCTGCTGCTGCTGCTGCTGCTGCTGCTGTGGCTGTTCACTGCACAACGACTGATTCCTTAACTGCACAATCTCATTCAAATCAAATGTTTTGTTTGTTTTAAATACTTCGTCGTTGGTGTTATGAATGATTTCGATTTTGGGTTTTTTTCGCTCGTTCGTTTCACTGGCACTGGTTTTGGGTGTTAGCCGCTGTCGAAAACTGCCTAAAAATTCACTAAACTGCTTGCCAAATGCTTGTCGGTTATTGTTAGCAATCGGTGGTTTTTTCACCAACACATCAATCACTTCGCCAGCACTCGTTATTGGAACACTTTGCTGTTGAGGCGTTGTTGAGTTTTTGTTGCGTATGCAAGTTTCACCAGTGCATTGTTCACCATCAAACAATGAGCGACACGATTCACAAATGTTTTCATAAATATGTTCAGGTTTTTGTTGTTGTTCGTCGTTGTCTTGCTCTCGATTAGTCGTATGACTGTTCCGTTTGCTGTTGCTCGTATCACAGTGCTGATGGTAGGCGCCGTTTCCAATGGCAAAACCACAAAATTCGCACAAATTTTCATAGACAGCGAATCGTTGGAGTTGCTCCGTTCGTCGATTTAATGTAGTAATATTTCGTTGTTGCTGATGTTGTTGTCGCATAAAATAATTATTGCTATCGGCTGTTACTCTCACAATGGCACCACTGCCATTGTCGTTATTTTCGATTTTATGCGGCCAAAAACCGAATGGGGCGCTATTTTTTATGTTCAAATCGTAGAAATCGCCTTGGAAACGCGATGGCGACGAATGTTCGCTGAAATAGTTTTCGCGATAGGCCAAGTCATTGAAATGACAATAAACACATGCAGTCGGCACACAATTCGAACACGTACTGACGGAATTACAACTGCTTTCGATGCGCTTACCACAGCTACAGCTCACCGCTTGATTCGTCAACGATATATCTTTTTTCTTCTTTCGCTTCTTTCGTTGCTTGCTGTTGTACGCTGCTGCTGCTGCCGATGTCGTCGTCGTCGACGCCAAATCAGTGGCTGTCGCACTACTAACGCTCGCATTCGGCTGTTCGCTATTATTTGTTTGATTTCCAGAAATTCTTGACATCATAACTTCAACAAAGTGTGTCTTACTCGCAAAGTAGAATGAGAGAACAACAAGTAAAAAAAAATAGGCGCACACACAAAAACACGAACATGCGTTGCTTATGTTTATTGTTTATCTCTTTTGCTTTCTGTCTTCAATCCACTACGATTGAACGCGTGAGTGGTTTTTTCTCTTTTCTTCTGCTTCTATCTCTTTCTCTTCTTTCATTCAGCGCTGTCACTGACTCGATTTTACAATTTTGGTGTTTCACATTGCATTACACACATACGATTCCTGCCTTCCCATATTTTCTGTTTGCTCATACCGCCGTATTTATTTGCATTTTTAGTCATTTTTATGTTACACTCTGTGTTGCTGTTGCTTCTTTTTTCATAGCGTGTCTCTATTTCGTTTATTCTTTTGATTATATTTTTTTTTCTGTTTGGGCATGCTCGCACACATTTCACGATAGATTATTTTGTATAAATGACATTCCAATGCTTATTTTAGACATGTGCTGCTATCGAACTGACTCATAAAACTCACGCAAAGATATCACAATCGGATATGGAGTGATATTTTTTTTCGATTTTTTATTTTGGAGTTGTGTCTGCTGCTGTCATACTCATCGCCGTCGTCGTTGTTTTTGTCGCTGTTTACAAATCTATCGCTCTCACTTGTTATATGCGTTCGCGTTCGCATATTAATGTGCGCGTAGTAAACACCAACGATCTAGGAATAAAAACATATACACAGCATAGAAAATTGTGTAACATTCGATGAGTTATTGCTGATTAAGGCGCTTCATTTTCATTTTATGTATCAATTTGTTTCATCAGTGTTGTTGGACGCTTGCCAAAATCATAAATATTGTTTTTTTTTTACTTCATTCATCAGCTATTTCTCGATCGAGATCTTTTTTTTCGAAATGTCTTCACTGAAAACTTGAATTTCTGTAGCAAGTTGTATACACGATTCGATTCGCCGTTTTGGTGGTTGCACATTTCGTAATGCACGTGAAGTAAGAGCGAGCGATTCAATCATTCAGCCGTAAAAGACCATCGAATAAAATACGGTAACTAGTCATTCTCTGAATGCCTTAATTGATACCCGTGAAAAGAATTATGCGATTTCTTTTAATAAAAACGATGTACTCTTAACACACTCGATTTAAATTAATTCCACACACGAGCCTCGTCAACTTTTGTTGTCGAATAGATTAGGGAAAAGAGTCAAAACAAACCCACTACAGAATTTTAAATGTCTCATCTAACTAGAAACTTCGTTCACGCGCGCGTTTCCCATAATTTATTACAACATTTTCGGATGAAATGTGCGTATTTTTGGCATCTCTATTGTGCGTCGCAAATTCCTTGTGGAATTCGATGATGTAAGATTGAATAAATGCCTACGATTATGCGTTGTCGGAAGTCTGATAAACCCGAGTTTAAATGTCACTAACGGATGGAAACAATGTGTTCGTAGAATAAGATTATCAACCCGTTAATTTAACTCTTTTTAAGATAATTTTTTTTCTAATTCTTTTCAAACACAATGATTTTTGTTTCTTCAAAAAAAAACTTAATCAATTGACTGGCTTTGGTTTTTTGGAGCGCAATTAGAACTTGTTTCGTGAATTTTGTTAGACGAAAAATCGAAACCGTTTCATCTTGGTTCGCGTTCGCAAACGAACTGACCGAGAAGAAAATACTTCAAGACACAATTCGTACATCGTGAGAGATCGTTGTGTCGCTGTTCATCGTCGACATCGTCGTCGTCATCGTCTCGTTGAATATTCTCTCGCACCCGAGAGCCACACAGAACAGTTAGTTTCATTTAATCAAAAACTATAATCTGTTGCATACAATATGAATACCATTCAATAGTACGGGGCCGGCAATGAGAACGGTTGCACGAGTAAAAAACAAACCAACAAATTGCTCAACATTCTCTCTCTTTCTCTCTTTTTCCCTCGGTCTCTCTCTTTCGGTGCTCGGTAAATTGAAGCTAACGATAGCCAGAGTCAGCAAAACAAAGAATCGAGAGACGCACGGCCAGTCACATTAAACCAAATGAAATATATGAATTAATTTTGTATACACCATGAAATGCTTTCATTCGATCGACTGGGTGTTTCTGGGTATGATTGCAAGCCTGATTATCTTCTTCACCCGAAAAAAAAACTCACACATCGAGCACAATTTGTGCTGAGGCCACGATTATTTGTTTAATGCATTTTGTCGCTCTGTATTTGTTTAGTTTTAATTGATAATTGACCGTGCACGCACTTGAAATCGGGGCGTTTTCTCACTTTCGTTTATACCATACATATATCTATCTCACTTTGGAATGTCTGCAATTAACCGAATGCAGATAAGAAAGGAATTTAATCGGTATAACCGATTGCATCGATTGAGCAACGCCGAAATAAGTTCAATATGCTTTTAGAGTGCTACATGCTTTCTCTCTTCCTCCCTTAATCGCCGGCGAGTAAAAATTTAGCATCCTGGTGAGTGCTATAATAAAATCACGCATTTTATTTCGATTAATGCCGATAATGGCTCACACAAAATTCAGAAAATTGCGAAACATAACGTAACCCAAAGACGCCAAATCATTTAGTTTTTGGAACAATAGTCTCAATTGTGCTAACACATTTAAGTAAGACATTAAGTTAATTAAATTTTTTCCGACCTGACTTTTCCACTAAAATTCAATTAAGCGTTTTTATGTTATGCATTGCGTGCAATCCATATTAACCGAATGGTCTATTTAATTTTGAGACGCGCTGAGCAAACTTAATGAATAAATATCTTGTGATGTGCGCTCGACTGAATATCTGTCCATAAGTCATATAATTGAGAAACGCCAGCAGTGCCGGTCTTCTCACACACGCGCGCACCCGTTTGCTCATTCCATTTTTATCATTTGAATTGAACTTTTAATCTTAATTAATTCTTCGGAGAAACAGTAGCCCAACAACAAAGCAACGGACGTTCCCAATGCATATGCCATCTCGGAGTGGAAGAGAGAAAAAAACGCACAAAAGTGAAAAGACATATTTTATTCTCATCAGCACATATGAATGCAAAGCAAACAACCAACCAACAAACCAACCAGACGGATATGATTGAGCATTTGCAGCGCTTCGATTGTTCTAAATGCGCTGTTTATGCTTCAAACATTCGTTTTAATGTTCCTTTTCACTTCGATTTCGGACTGACGAACGGTTTTTGCACATTTACGCGAGCGTTCGTTTGCGCGCATAAACGATGCAAAAATCGTGGAACTGCATGCTGTTTTCAATCGCCTGAGAAGCATTTAAAAAATGATTCACCGCTTGGTCGTTTTTTTCTTCTCTTCTTTGTAACACTCACTCACTCTCCATTCAGCCATCACGAATGTAAACAGTCAAAAGAGAAGAA